ACACACACACACACACACGAACATACACATACATCATGGGTCGTCACAACATGCGTTTTTGCACTTGCATAGATGCGAAAACACATAAAAATAGCAAAAAAGTACTGATTTTTTGCTAAGTGTATATCAAAAACAAATATTGTTATTTCCGATAAAGCCGCAAAATACTGAAGTAAAAAACAGGGTTCTTTATGTATTTTTTACATTTCTTTATATTTGTATTTCAGTAATGCAATTCCCGCCAAAGTTTTTTCACATTCTTGTTCAATTACGTACTGAAAGCCCACCTTTTCTTCGTTACCCTTCAAACACTGGATCACTTGTTTATATTCATCGCTGATGTCCAGTTTGGATGTGTCAAATAGTAGTACAATCATATCGACCTGCAAAACTGGCGAATCGGACAAAATCTTGAAACTTCGTCCTCGGCAAAAAAATTGTTATGAGGGCTTTTTTCGTGCGCGAGTAGTCAGAGTGTGGAACGATTTGCTTTCGAAATTCGCTCATGCTCATTCCGTTTGAAAGTCTTCTAGCATCATTAACAGTCCTGCTCTGTGGTCCCTCCTTTGCACACATTATACACTAAAAGTGCTAAATTTTCATTGCGCTTTTCTTAAACGTTGTAAGTCTTCAGTGCGTTTTTGTGTCTTTTTTTTCTCTTTTTATGTACTAAGCTCACGAAATGTGTGTATATTAGTATATATTTGTTCTGTTTGGCAATTGAATAAAATGTGAAATCAGTGTTAAAAAGCCTTCGAATAGTTTTTTACTTGATAGAACTAACTTGTCGCAGTCGTTAATTGCTGTTAAATGACCTCTCGAGAAGATTATTATGCGTTTTTTGCAGCTATGCAATGCAGAAAACGCATATTGACAAGGGGTTGTCTGTGTGTGTCTGCACATTCGTCTGTACCGATTTTCCATCTCAAGACCTACAAAAGCTACAGGACTGAAACTTTGGGAACTTAATCTGCATGCAGTACGGACCCCATTTCCAAAATGAGCGCTCTTACCCGCGTGGTACCCACGTATGGGCCCGCCAATGTTTTTTACGGGCATGTTGCTAAGTCGGGAACCAGAAATGCTGGGAGGCTGAAATTTTAGGGGGACGTTCCCCGCCCAAGTAATTATTAATGAGCTCAAATCCAGCCTCCGGGTAAGCGTGGTACCCACGTACGGGCCCGCCAAAATTTTTTTTGGGCAATTTGCTAACTCGGGAATCTGAGAAGCCAGAAGGTCGAAGTCTTAAGGGGATATTCCCCGTCCAAGTGGGTATTAAAGAGCTCAAACCCAGTCCCCGGGTAAGCATGGCACCCACTTACGTGCCCGCCGGAATTTCTTTCTGATAAGTCGCTAACTCGGAAATCTGAGAAGCTAGAAGCCTGGAATTTTGAAGGGATGTTTCCTAACAGTCTTGACGGCCAGTCTGAAATTCTTTTGGCTAGAAGCATCTGCCGGAAAAACCAATGCCGTTAGCGACAAAAATCTGTGGGAAGCTATACAAAAAACGCGTCTTCGCACGGGCAGCCCTTGCGTTGGCCAATTATTTTTTGTTTTGAATAACGCCTGAGCATTTCATTTCACCGAAACCATTGGCATGGAGTTCTCGATGCAAGTAAGATACGGCCTTAGGGTGACTGTCATAAAATTAGTTAATGATTCAGTGGTTTAGTACGGTACTGTATGGATCCGCGAGGGAGGGATAAACCAAGTTCTCAGTCGATTCTCATGTCAAAGTTGATTAACTCATTCAAAGAAATTGGGAAAGAAAGCCTCCTATTCAGTATGGTTAATCGAAGAGCACGAGCGGGATTGGACCGGTATAGAAAATGTGATGATCAAATAGCTATGGGTGAGCGAAAAAAATGGATAATACCTTGCAGGCAATATAATTGACAACGGAAGCGAAGTCGTAGCCACGCGAACTGCGCTGCTTTTGACCGGACAGAATGCCCGGCGTGTCCATTAACGTGATGTGTTCCAGCAGTTTAGCTGGAAGAGTGGCGCCACGCATCCGTGTGAGAAATGCTGATCCGAACATGTTCAGTGACTGTAACAACAGCCACGTTTAATTTGTATTTCGTTTTTAAAAAATTGTTTTCCCTCAAATTGTACAAGAATGATTTGGAATTTAGCTAAAGCTAGACGGAGCATTTTTAACAATTCATTTTCAAAGTTGTTAAACACAAAAAAGATGCTATATTTCTTTTGTGTCTTTTAATAAAATCGGCGTCAATTCCATTTTCCTATGAAATAACTGTAACGGAATTTCAGTGTTAGTGAGGAAGTTTCAGACAGAACTCCCAAAGGATATTCAAAATTTTAAAATGCATTAATAATTGAGAAAATGGCGAAGGAAACTAGATTCTTAAATTTCGAAGTGAAAGGCCTGAAAACCTTGCAAATCGAAATCGAGCTGTGCCTTAAAACAAGACCAGGCTGGAACGCACCAGGTGAGCCGGTGCGACCATGCGTTTTTGCATCAAACTTTGAGGTACTCCATCAAATTTCCCTGCCTTTT